TTCCCAACAGACTTTGTTTTTTAGAAGCTTTGAGGTTTCCAAGAGAGAATGAACTGAATGTAGTCCTGAGTAGTTTATGTGTACAATGACCCTATTGAGTGAAATGCAAGTCTGAGAAGTTCTTAAAAGGTTGAGGTGAATGTAGCATCTTATGAGCTCTTCCTCAGCTTTTTCTCTTCCTCTGATCCAGTAAGATATGTGTTTCATGTTCTCCTCCTGAGCCTTTGAAGGAATCTCTGTGGAATTTTGTTTCAATAAAGATAATTAATAAACAGGTTAAGGAAAGCTTTACCCAACTCCACCATTCCTTAACATCTCCTCGATCAGCACCTTATGAGGCCTAACACAAATTTAGCCCAAAACTGGAATTAGACCAACAAAAATCATTGTTTATTTTTGAGGAAAAAAGGAGACCAGAAGCATACCTGCTGTTTTCTTTATGCCTCATCAGGGGGTTAAAGACTACCTCATCATACTGGTTATTATTTATTCAAACATATTTGAAGGAATTAATAATGCAGCAAATATTACACACACACGCACACACACACACACACACACACACACACACACACACGCACGCACACACTCTCACTTATTTCCTGTTTCTTTCTCCTCTTCTGGCTTCCATAAAGAGGTCTCCCACAGCGCTTTTAAATGTGTACTTATATAAACCTTTCCTTCGTCTTTTTTCCAGCTCCCCCACACTTCCTCAGCTCCGTCTGTCTCACTCTTAGCTTTAGTCTCTTGTTTTTAATTCCAGCAATTTTTTTCATCCATTTCGTCTTTCTTCTATTATTCTTCTCTCGTTCTTTTCTGTATTTACATTAATGCTGCTCCTCCACATCATCTCCCTCCCTGACCCGTACTCGTTTTATGGCTTCACTGAATCACATTTGCACTTACTCCTGACACCCGCCTCCAGTGCATTAGAGCCTCATTACATTCCTATTGTTTTTATTGTGGCCAAATGCACTGAGAGCAACATATGGAGGTGGTGCAGAAGACTTGATGCGTTGCTTTGTTTACTCTTGAACTAATTTATTCCATTTAGTTTCACTTTGATCATGCAGAGTGCTTCATCACTAGGGAAAACGGGACTAACTGCCCTGTTTCTCTGTCTTCAGTATTGCCAGTGGATTCGGTGGTGCTTTGTTCGTTTACCTGAACCGACTGATTGTCCAGTTCATCAGAAAACAAAAGACCATCAACAAATTCCTCATGAAGAAGTGAGTACATGTGAAGAATGTGACAGATGTCTCAGGAGAAACATGCACCCTGCTCCCAGATTCGGGTTTTTTGCATTGTTTCATATGAGTCACACACTAGAATGTGTTTGTGGGCTCTGTGAATGTATACAGCAGTCTGCTGTATTTTGAGAAGTTCAAAAAAGATTAAATAGTAAAATCAACCCAGAGTTCCAAACATTTTCTTTGATTAAGCATCTTTTAAGCCAAGCCTGATGAGAAGTCAACTCCTTCAACCCATTAGGAAACTAATTTGCTTTTGTACTATTAACACATCACAGAAACAGTATGCAGGACTCATACAATGACAATAAGTTACACTTACCATTAGATGAAGTCACAGGCTAATGGCGACTGGGAAACATTTTGTACAATAGTTTTAAAGTGGCATTTCGAGATCACACCCCTGAAAACCTCTTTTATTGTACTTTATTATGATACAATAATAAATGGTTTTTATATATAACGTTTTCCAAACTTTTTGTATTTCAGTGAAAATTGTGAAGGCATGAACAAACACAAATTGTATTACCTGTTTATTCACTTTGACACATTCTGGGCTGTTCATTTGAAGCCAACAGTAACGGCTAAACATGCATCTCTTGATAATCATTGAACATTTTAAATTTGTGTGATATCTAACCGCTATGATGATGATGATGACCTCAAGGGTTTCTTTTTTCAACATGGCTGCTTACTGAATTTACAGTATGTTTACTCTTCAATAAGTGATGAAATGCAAATATGGAAAAAATTTATTTTTATAATTTCTTTTTTTTTTTTTCCTTTCAGACGACTACTGTATCCAGCGCTGGTCACTTTTTTGATTTCAACACTGACATTTCCACCTGGATTTGGACAGTTTATGGCTGGAAAGGTATGGTTCCAACATATTTCAAAAGTTATGACAAAAATAATACTCTTTTGCATAAACTGCATTGCTTTGCATTTTCACTTTACTGGAATTTGGAGAATAGGGACCAGTGAGTTGAAGTGGTAGCATCATGAGTAGAGTGATGTGTAACAATTTCCAGATCATTCAACAGTCAGTCCTAACAGTGAATGAAGATCAAATGAAACAGAGCTCAAGGTTAAATGATATATATGGCAGACTTCATTTATAATTTGCCACATCGCAATTTCAATTTAACATTTTACTCATCAGTATTTTGGCTTTTGATTTACAAACTGAATACACATTTTTTTTAATTATACAAAAAGCTAAATAATTTGTAATTATATTACAAACGATTGACGCAAAAAGTGCTGCTACTTGCTTCTGATTTGTAATTATTATTTTCTGTGATCTGTAGTTGACTCAGAAGGAGTCTCTGGTGACTTTGTTGGACAATCGGACGTGGGCAAAACAGGGAATTGCTGAGGAATTTGACTACATTGGAAACGCCCAAGCCTGGAAACACCCACAAGTCAACGTCTTTGTTACGCTGGTCCTCTTCATCATCATGAGGGTAGGAGCAAAGTAGAGGAAGCTTTACAGTGATGGCATCACACTAATGTAGTGGACTGTGCTGGAGGCGACAACCCTAAAGTCGTCTTCACTGCGGCTGAAACTCTCATGTTGAAGCTTGGAAGCAGTAATTTCTGAGGAAATATTATTAGCAAAAGATTCACTACATGTGA